CAACGTTGTAAGTTTAGCATAATAACAGAGAAATGTATAAGCTTTGTGTTACCTAGCAACCTAAACTAATTGTAAAAAAACGTGAAGTGTTATAAAAACAGTATAATAACAAAACGTCATTGTGGACGTACTTTTTAGCTTTTTATTTTTGTTAATTTATAAATCTGAATTAACATAGTTTATACTATGGACGGATCTTAGTAAACTATTGAAAATCAGGAAGCGTTGTACAGCTGTTTTGTACTGGATTAACAAATCTCTGTTTATGTATTATTTCAATAATGAGAGGATATACTATTTCCTGTGTTTATATTGTAAATAATGTTGTTTATATAAAGAAGATAATGTTGAGTTCAATCATTTTAAGGTGGAATAACATCACTAAAATTAAGCTAAATTCGACAGACCCATTTTACATAGTCTTTGGGGGTTTTGTTAACAAACACTGTCGAAAATATAATCGAAAAATGAATAGTATATCTCAAATAAATATATACAAACACTCCTGAATTGTTTCTTTCTTAGATTTTTGTATATCCTAAAAAGAGATCAGTTGTGTAATTAAAATCAGCCCATATATATATATATATATTAATTTATGAAATTTGTTTAACTAAACCAGTATTGTTTTATCATATAAGATTTAACAATTCGTTGGTTCAAACTAAAATTTTATTAACCTATGGTTAACGATATTCCTTAAAGGCATACAATTATTCACAGTTATACATCACTATAAAAATTGTCACAATTTGTTTAAATACAGCTAAAAACAAACATTAATTTAAAGAAAAATAATGTCAAAATTCAAAAACTTCAGGGAAAAGAAAAAATTTTGATATCTATCATATATGTTTTGTTTGAAATGAAAAATTTAATTATTATGATTCTGCTTACATAATGTTTACTTGATATCTGTCATTTTATTACAATTTCCAGTTTTTATGCTTGATTTACATAAATATTTTTATGATGTAGATTGTTATGTGATTTTTTTTTTATTTCTTTGATATCCCTTGGTTTCTTTGGTTACAGTCAGTCAGCTAGAAATCATCAACATGGAGCCTAGCTCAGTTGTGTGTTAGTTGAAGCTGCTGCACCGTATTAGCAGAACGATATGAATATCACAAGACGAATTAAAAATGACCTGAAATAATGTTTTAGCAATAAGAGAACTAACGATGGGAAAATTTAACCGTTGAGAACATAGTTTAAGAAGAGAGAACTCAGACTGTATCAACCCAGCTATAGTTTCCAGTTTTTTCATTAGGTAGTATTAAATAATATTATCACATACTTTAAGTGGAATAATGTTTCTCCAACGAAAAGCCTAATATCTATAAGCCATTTAAGACACCTTTAGAATTATTATTTGATCATTGTTTACTACTGCCATATATTCAATGTCTGTGTAATTTGTGCAAATATAATGACTAGATCATGATAATGTTATGTCGTAAGTGTAAAAACGTTGTAAATATTATTAGTAAGACTACAGGTTATGGAGTTAATAAGAGAAGATTAGTTATTACCACACCTGACAATATAGTCACTGTGAATATGGATACGTTCTTGTACAGTTTCAAGATTTTTATTAGTCCAGTTATAGAAAAAATAGGGAAGTTACTCAAATTTCAAACTTACCAATAAACTGTTTTCTCAATTTGTGAAAATTAATAATAAGTCATTTGGGATTGATATAGCAAAGACGTTCCAGTGCGTCCAGACGTAAAAATTGTAGGAACTTTGAGAAATGCTGTTATACGTTAGTAACTTGATAAAATATCTTGCACATAATCTTTCAAATAAGATCACTTTTTGTAAAAGGGGTTTAGTCTGTTTACGAGAAATGGATTATACACCTTGGTAAACTTATAAGACACCTATTTAGATTTCAACGCATGTCGAATCACAAATCCTTGATTCTATCAGTCCTCGCTAATATAAAGTAAAGAATTTAAAAGTCATATCTAATGTAGTTCAGTTTTTGTGACATATCGGTTGAACTTACTGTGGCAATCAGAGACTCATTTATTCACCCAATCTTAATTTCTATCATTTCAAATTATATAAACAAAAACGTACAGAAAGTCAAGTTCGACTTTATAAAAATAATTATGCATTGATTATTTTTGATAGTGAGAAAAACTTTCATTGCTTTCGGCAAGAATATCTTAATAAATAAAGGTCGTTAATTTAGGGTCCAGTGTTTTTAACATATGCTTGATTACAAATAAAGTTGTTAGAGGTAAAAGCGAATGGGTAATGCGAATATATATATGCCATCTGCAGCATTGCTAATTATAGAATCAAAACTCCCACCGTTATTTGACCTGTTTTGATTGCAAAAAGGATGCAAAAAAATAACAAATTCTGTTGCTCATCTTATTTTCAAACTTTATTTTGCGGTTATTTTTATCCCAATGTTTATCTCTTAATAGAATATTTCATTTCTGTAAAACACATTGGTTTATTTTGTGTTTGGAAAAGTTTTTAAGGCACATTTGTGATTATTTATTCAAAGTGAGAAAGCATTTATCTTTGAGCATGATTAGTTTGTTACATGATATTGCCTTTCTCAATTTTCTTGCTGATAGAATAGTTTTTTCGTCAAAATTGTATGATTATCAGTTTGTCTAATTTATTGAATAAGTTGTAAAATCTTGCAACAGTGTGTACCATACAAATAGAACATACAGCTTATTATCATTAAATATGATTATAGAATATGTGGGACACAATATGTGTCCTATACTTCATATCGTTTTTATCAGTTATGTATTCATGTTTATCAGCGTAAATATATATACCTATGCTTTAACGTTATATTCTGTAGTTTAAAGATTCTCATTGAGTATTCAGAAATAAAGAACACTTGAGCTTACAACTGATTTCCACTACTTCATCATCAGGCCTTACAGTTAAGAATTCATTATGTTACCATGACCAAAGTAAGACACATACACAAATGAAGTAGATAGTGTTATACGGTAAAGAAAGTAAATTTTTGTAACGATATGACATAAATAAATACAAAATATGTCATCAGTAAATTTGAACCTACTATGCTTCAATTTAATTAGGACAGTTTTTGTAAAATTATGCTAAATAAACACATTTATTTATAATATGGAACACCAGTATATATATATATATATATATATATATATATATATATATAAATATATACAGATTATAGATACTAGCGATTATTGCTACTTTTTTGTGGTTAAATTCTGCACTTTTTAAATTATTTTCTTAATTATTTTTGCAAAATTAAAAGTGAAAAAATATTCAAAAAAGTAACACAAATATGCCAAAAAAAAAATTGTGTATATATTTTTTTTAAGGTTTTTAATATGTCTGAAATAGAATAACAGTAACAATATTGATATCGGAAGATATTTGTGGTATTTTTAAACGTATCTATTTTATTTATGTATCTGAAATCGTTAAAATTATTATTTTTGTTGTTGTTGTAATTTATTTTTAACCATAAAAAAGAGAAAGAAAAATTTTACTATTTTTTAATAGATAAATATGTTATTCCAAGTATTCATATTCATATGTTTACTTTTCTTGTGAAGTAACATAACACTAGCTTTTTAATAATAGTAACTACTAATGATTGATTGACTGTAACTGATAAATATTTTATTGAGTATTACGGTCACACAACTTTAATTATTTGACTGATAATAGAAATATGAATAACTGATCTTTTATTCAGTAGTCTAAAGGCAATATAGTAGATGGAAGATTTGAAAGTTTGAGATTTAATCAGTTGTCAATGTTATAGAAACATATTACCAATTAGTATTACAATGAATGATAACAGCTGTTCATTGTTCTCTGATGACTCAATAAATATCTGTTTATGATGACAAATAAATTACCATAGCTATTACACACATATTTGATAACGTTTTTCGCTTCATTTTATTACACAAGACTTATTTATTAATGATGCTATTATGTAATAAGTTTAGTTAATCTAAAGGAAATAGAATTTAGTTTCGCTTAGGTAGTTATGTATAAAATATAAGATTTATATGAATAAAACTGAAAATTGATATTACGAAGACAGTGAATATAGTTTAATAAACACTATTTCATATTTATTGAGTAAATATTTTCTGGATCGTAAATGAATTTACATAGCGACTCGTTTATGGATCACTGCCAGTTATGAAAATAGAAACTATTTATTGTGTTCTGCCTAAAAATAGCTTGATGTTTGAAAAACTCTGTTTCGTATTATTTATTTGAAAAATGTATGTTCATGAGACATTGAATACATTGAAACTGTTTATGAAAGATATATCTGTTAAACACTTCATAAAAGTTTATTGCTTTTAGTTATTAGATGTGTGAAAAACACGAATAAAGGAAAATAATGCAGATGGAGTGATATTACAATAAACAAAACGAATTTGGGTTAAATAAAAGAAAAGAGATCATAGATATTGAAATGAGGTATAGAGTAAATGGATCTGTGCTATAATAATCTCTAATAAATTTAATCCGAAGTCTCTAGTCTTTATATTCCCAATATAAATCCATGAACTTCTATACATAATGCTGGGCAAATAGAACAATAAGTAAATTTTTAATCAATGATTTCACCTTGAGCAAAAACTTTATTCAATATGCTCTTATTCGACTTTATGTCGTTTTGTGGTTTAAATCATGAACTGATCTTAGTTAGGATCAAATTGAAAACCAGGAAGCAATAGACAATTGCCTCGTCTTAGTATCAGATCCCTCAGGAATATGCATCTACGAACCCACCGCAGGAAACTGGAAACCAGAACCTTTGTTCTTACATGTGAACATTTAACCGTTAGACCACTTAGCTTGATATCTATAGGTTTGCATGTCTAATCGCGATCCATTCATGATATAGCGTGACCACCTGTCATATTCTTACCTTTGTGTTTTCTTTTTTTATTATGATTTTTAGTATTACACGTAATTTTTTTTACAATTCTTACTTACAGGTGATTTACTACCTGCTGATGGAGTAGTTCTTCAAAGTAATGATTTGAAGGTTGATGAAAGCTCATTAACTGGTGAACCGGATCAGGTGAAAAAAGGTGAAAACATTGATCCAATGTTATTATCAGGTCAGTCAGTATATCAATAATTGAATTATACTTTTTATTAATTATTACCCAATTATTACTTATCCATTTCTACACGATAAATAAATAGATATTCATATTTTTTTTATATGAAGGAACCAAAATAGTATTATGCTACTGTACTGACAAAAGTAATATATTTAAAAAATAAGTTTATAAACTCCTTGGTATATTCTTTTTATAAAACCTGCTAATTTTTCAAAATAATAATATGAATTTATTTATTTCCTCTTAACTTTATATCATTTTATATAACGTAGGAAAAGTTTGAGAACTTGTAGAATAACAATGACATATACATATCAGTAAAATCCTATTGTGTTGGAAAATGTATTTCTGACATTTTACTACCACGTGTAAATTGCCTCTTCAGAGGACAAATAATCAAATCGAATTAAAACAAATTTAAAAGTAGTTCAAACTGAACAAAGCAGAATTCTTTGCAGTATAATCAAAAGAGTTTTGATCATGATAATGATATGTCATTTTAGTCAAGGTGATTCATTGTGAGATCTTTTAGTTTGTATGTTAGAGTGATATATCTGATGTTCGTAATATGAAAAACAGGAGATAGACATATTTTTATGCTTGTTAACAGTGTGGATTGTGAATAAAATTAAATGTTTGAATGTGTGGATGAATAGTTTATATTAGATGGTTAGTTAAATGTTTCTTTCTAGTGAAGGCTTTAGCTACATATGCGAGACTTCATCCAATTATCTTTCTTCATAATTGGGAAAACGTTTTTGCATTATTTCGACATGTGAACTGTGATAATATTCATTTTTCAAAAAATGTACAGAACTAAACTCATTCTGAATAGTACAACAGAGTTAGAAAATGTAATATTGTCAATTTTAAAAGTCAAATGTAACAACCTTATATATAAACATACTATAATTCTTTTGTACAGAATAATGTTCTACATTTATATTAAGTTCAAGTAAATTGTTACTTGAACTTTAAACGTTTTCTTGAACAATGAGAAATAACATGAGCAAAAAAAAGTACATCCGAATTTTTTTACACTTCAAATATTCTCTTCCATTAAAGAAATCAATAAGTCAGTATGATATTGTTCGATACCAAAATATGAATTTCTTAGCTTGATTAGTTTTGCTCATCATTTCTAATAGTTATTTATATTTAGTTTCCCTGACAATTAAGTAGTTGTAAGTTAATTTTGTTGACTGTATTCCATTGTTCGGTTCTTATTTTTATAAAATCATATATAAATTCAAGTGAAAAGATTGAATAAAGGATTCAACACGGATATAAAAAAGAAAAAAAATCTTCAGAAATATATAAACATCACTAAAACCAAAAAACAATAGAATCATTCTCTTTATTAATGATATTCGTATGCACCATTGAACCTAGCAAATGTGTACGTGATATAAGCTATCACAATCTAGTAGCATAGCTTTGGCAAATCCATTAGTAACAAAATAGTAACAATATCAGTGGTAATAGAAAAGATAGTGCACTTGAGATATGATTCGAGAGGAAAATATGGATTACTTACTTACTTACGCATGTTACCCCTTGTGTAGGAGCATAGGCCGCCCACCAGCATTCTCGATCCAACCGTGTTCTGGGCAATCCTTTCAAGTTCTTTCCAGTTGTTATTCATCCTTTTCATGTCTGCTTCTATTTTCCGGCGTAAAATGTTCTTTGGCCTTCCCTTACGGATTCCAAGTTGTGGATTGCCTCATGATGCAGTTAGGCGATTTCCACAATGTATATCCTATCCACTTCCAACGTCTTTTCCTAATTTTCTCTTCAGCTGGAAGCTGATTTGTCCTCTCACATAAGACGCCATTACTGCTGTAGTAGTTCTCCATGTTTCAGTTTCGTACAGTAGGACTTTCTTGACGTTCGTATAGAAGATTATCACTTTGAAGTTGTTGTTTTGAGTTCCATATGTTCGTCAATTGTAAGAATAAGTTCATTGCTTTGCGAATCCTCGCCTTTACATCTGTATCCCATCCTCCTTGTTCATGAATGATGCTTCCCAGGTACGTGAATGATTACACCACTTCCAGAGTTTAGCCATCAAGTGTGATTGGGTTGGTGTTCTCCGTGTTGTATTTGAGGATCTTGCCTTTTTCTTTGTGTATGTTGAGGCTTATTGATGCAGAAGCTGGTGCAACATTTGCTACCTTCGTCTGTATTTGTTCGTGTGTATGAGATAGAAGGGTTAGGTCATCTGAGAAGTCCAAATCGTCTAATTGATTCTGAGATGTCCATTTTATTCCGTGCTTCCTCTTAGATGTCGAGGTTTTCATAATCTAGTCAATCACCAGAAGAAAGAGGAAGGAAGGAGAGTAGATAAACTTCTCTAACTCAAGTCCTTACTAAAAATGCATCTGTTAGCTGTCCTCCATGCACGACCCTGTATGAACTCTGGATAATGTTGAAAATCTTCTCAGGAACTCCATAGTGTCGAAGAAGATTCCATAATGTTCTCCTGTCCACGCTGTCAAACGCCTTCTCATATTCAATGAAGTTGACGTATAGTGATGAGTTCCACTCAACTGGTTGTTCAACGATGATCCGTAGTGTCGCAATTTGGTCTGTGGACGACCGATCCTTACGGAATCTAGCCTGTTGATTTTGAAGTTGGGCGTCTACTGCGTCTTTCATCCGATTCAGCAGCACTCTGTTGAAAACTTTTCCTGGTACTGACAACAAACTTGTGCTTCTGTGCTCCTTACATTTGCTCACATCTCCTTTATTTGGTATCTTGATGAGGTATCCTTTTTTACAGTCCGCTGGCACTTGTTCTTCCTCCCAAATCTTGTTGAATAGAAGGTGAAGCATATTTGATATTACTTCAATGTCTGACTTCAGTGATTCAGCTGGCATATTGTCAGTTCCTGCCACTTTCCTGTCCTTGATTTGTCTGATGGCCATCTTGACGTCTTCGATAGTTGGTGGAGTGGCAGATATAGGAGGGTTTGTGCTTCGATCTCCGGTGGATTCAAAAGGCCTAGTCTATTTAGCAGTTCCTCTAAGTATTCTGCCCATCTTTTCCTTTGTTCTTGAACCTCTGTGATTGTTTTTCCTTTTTTGTCCTTGACTGGTCTCTCTTGTTTACTATATCTCTCTGCCAGTTCCTTCGTTATATCATATAGTTGTTTGAAAATTCCTTCTCTTGCAGATTTTTCGGCCGTCGTTGCTTGTTCTCCCATGTATTTCAGCTTGTCGGCCTTGATGCTTTACATCACTTCCTTGTTTGCTTCCGCGTACTCTGCTTTTACCTTGACTTTCTCTGTTCATGTTCGGCTGTTGTTAATTGCTAGTTTCTTGTTCGTCCTTTCTTGAATCTTGTCCATGGTTCCCATAGAGATCCATTCCTTATGATCATGCTTATTGCTACCCAGATGGCGATCTGAAGCCATGTTAGCTCCTCTCCTTGTTCTCACATCTTGCATTGTCCTTCGGAAATTTTGTTGATACAAATATGCTCTATCTGGTTCTCTGTGGTGTGGTCCGGCAAGATCCATGTAGCTTTATGTATGCGTTTGTGTAGAAATATTGTGCCGCCTATAACCAATTTGTTGAATGCACATAGATTTGCAAATCTTCCCCATTGTCATTTCTCTCTCCTAGTCTATGTCGTCCCATTAAATCTACATATCCTGTGTTGTCCACTCCGACTTTAGCGTTTAGATATCCCATCAGGATGGTGAGGTCCTTTCTTGAGCACTTCTTTATAATTGATTGCAGCTTCTCATAGAACTGATCTTTATCGCCATCGTTGCTATCCTTGGTAGGTGCATAACATTGGATAACATTCATTGTGATCCCCTCCTTCTTTGTTTTGAATAATACTTTGATTATCCTGAATCCATGAGATTTTCATCCTACAAGTGCATTTCGTGCTTCTCTGTACAGCGTTAGAGCAACTGTCTGATTCTGTGAAGCATTTTTATCTTCGTGACCGGAGTACAGCAGCATCTCTCCCGTAACTAGCATTTGTTGTCCAGCTTGTGTCCAATGGGCTTCGCTGATTCCAAGTACTGCCAATTTGTAACTCCTCAGCTTACTTACAACCTACTTCTAGATCACTCATTATCATATGTTGAGTTATACAATGGATGCGAATACGTCATACACATCTAATAATCTCGGTCGATAAAGACTCATTACATCATTATTCGATCCATTAATTTTCCTCAGTACTCAATTTTTCACTTCATCATTGCCAACTCGATGGTTCCAACATGCTATGAATTCATCTAGTAACCTATGAATGTCTTCACTTTTAAAGGCCATATTTTACAGCCATAAATTACGATAAAGTGTACAACAGAACAACAAACCAGATGGATATTTTGCCACAAGCCAATCCTTTATTTGCTACATAAAAATAATAATAATTAAGATTACTTTCTGACCATAATAAATTGTTGCCTTTGTCCTTATTTTCCTTTCTATCAAGTTCACCTACAATTGATGTTTCCTATTACTTTGACGGAGATCATTAAGTTTTTGATTGAGATCACGATTCGATTGATGTTAGACCACCATTGGAAACCTGGAAGCACTAGATGGCCGTTTCGTCCTGGTATGGAACTCCTCAACAACGCGCGTTCACCATCCCGCACACAAGATTTGAATCCTGAATTTTCGGTCTCGCGCGCGAAGATGGTCGTGCAATGTCGTGGATTGATTGAAGTTAGACTTTAACACCATACACTGTCGGTCAGTGGTCTAGAATTTAGGCATTTGCGCGCGAGACTGAGGATTCAGGATTCGAATCTTCTGTGCGGGATGGTGGATGCGCATTGTTGAAGAGTTCCATACCAGGAGGAAACGGCCATTAAGTACTTCCAGGATTTTAATAGTGGTTTAACATCAATCGATTCGTGATCTCAATCAAAAAAACTATTAAAATTTCAACTTTAAAAAACTGAGTTCTTTGGATAATATTATTTTAGTCATATGTAATTATTGATTGCTTTACCAAAAAAGGA